CAAGCTAGCGACTCACATTGGAAGCCTGCCATTGGCCATAGTGGGGATATTTACACTGCAGGAATGGGCAGACACACGTCCCTTGCAAGAGCCAGTTACACATTTACCAGAATGTTCAGAAGCCACAGCTGGGTTGTCACTGATTTGTGGGGCAGCTGTCAAACTGGGAACCCGGGGGTCAGGGGTTGGGTTTCTCCAGTTTAAGTGCAAAGATCCAGCTTTGGATCCGGGGCTGGGATCAAAGCTGCAAGGTTGATCTCTGAGAGGCTGGACCAGGTCAGGAGCTGGGGCCAGGGTCAAGGGCACGTTCTGGATCGTCACCTCCTTCCGCTGGGGCACTCGGCGCCACCAGACGTGGTCACAGGAAGAGCAGGCGAATTGGCGGTCCACGGCAGGGATGAGGTCGTCCTGGGCCCGCTGGAACATGCGTAGGTTGGCTTTCGTCAGTGGCAGCAGGGAGGTGGCCACGGCCTGTAGAATGAGGCAGATGGGGACAAGAGGGTCACACCTCCGCCACCAAAAGAAGCATTGTCAGCCCCCCCCCCAGCCCCAGCTGTCAACTCACCTGGATGTCCCTGTCCTGTTTCATGTCTTCCGGTGGGTCCTGAATGGAGACACCAGGTAGAGAAACTGGAACTGGGGCTCAGTCCTCTTTCTGGCCTTGTTTATGGGGGGACAGGCCCTGCCTTGGGGTTCCCAGAGGCACATGAGAGCAGGGTGCTCCCATCTCTCCAGGAGCTGGTAGAGGAACGCACCTCTGTAAAGCCCCCTGCCCAGGCCCGGGGGAAGGCTTGCCCGAGGTCACCCTGAGCAAGCTCCGCACGGCAGGCCTGGACCCCTGCCCCATTCCTGCCTGCAGGTGTCACGCGCTTGCTGGTGCTGAGACACAGCGCCCTTCTTACCTCTGAAGGGAGATTTTTTTGCTCTAGGGCACGTGTGCTTGTCAGAGACAGAAAGCGAGAAATCACCCTCCCGAGGGGATGGCCACTCCATAATCCCTTCTCCTTCATTCTCTTCTTGGGGTTTTGGGCATGCATACATGTGTCCAGCATGAGTCTGAACCTGCCACATCCGGGACTTGAACTGCAGTCAACTATGTGGGAGTCCAGCAATATAACCATTACGTCATCTGCTGGTCAGCCCAGCCCACCTCGTGGTTTTTTTGTGTTTTTTTTTTTTTGGAGAGATTTTCACTATAGGGCGCGTGCGTTCGCCAGACAGACAGAAAGACAGAGAGACAGAAAGTGAGAAATCACCCCCCAGGGGGGATGGTCACGCCGCAATCCCTTCTCCTCCATTCTCCTCTCGGGATCTTGGGCACACACGCACACGCGCCCGGCGTGAGTTTTAAGCCACCGGGTCCGGGACATGGTCCGGGACATGAACCACCGTCAACTACGTGGGAGAGCAGTGACATAGCCATTACGTTAACTGCTGCTTCCCCTGCTTCGTGTTTTTGACACCGTGTTGCTTTCAGCTAAGTGCTCAGGCTCTGGATTTAGACAGATGCAGGTTTGAATCCTGGCTCTCACTTCCAACAGTGGGAATATGGGCAAACTACCCACTCCCCCTACGTCCCTATCGAGGGATAACTGAGAGCCCAGGGCTTGACGCCAGGTGGCCAGAGTTCAAATCCCAGCTGCCACCTGCTTGCTGTAGGAATCTGACAAGGGACAGGGTTTACCACTTCATCACTCTGGGCCTCAGTGTCTGTAAAATGGGGACTGTAAACAAGAGCTGAGCTCTCCCAGGGTTGCCGTGGCGACAAGAAAAGTCCGTTCCTGGAGTCTTGACCTATAGGGTGTGCTCAAGGGTGCCCTCTGCTACTTTCATGAATATTCATAAAGCATGTACTACATACTGCATTATACTCTTTTTAAAAAATTTCCTTTTCTCCTTTTTTGTTTTTTGGAGAGGTTTTTGCTATATGGTGTGTGTACTCACCAGAAAGACAGAGAGCGACAGAAAGACAAAGTGAGAAATCACCCCCCAGGGGGGATGGCCATGCCGCAATCCCTTCTCCTCCATTCTCCTCTCGGGACCTTGGGCACGCACGCACATGCGCCCGGCGTGAGTTTAAGCCACTGGGTCCGGGACTTGAACCGCGGTCGACTACATGGGAGTCCAATGATACAGCCATCACGCTAACTGCTGGTCCCCAAAAAACTGATTTCCTTTTCTTAATAAGTTTATTCATCAGGCCAGCAGGTGGCATAGAGGTTAAAGTGCTGGACTCCCACATGGCCGACAAGAGTTTGAGTCCCAGGCCTGGTGGCTTAAATATCACGCCAGGTGTGTGCACGTGTGTGCCCAATGTGCCAGGAGGAGAATGGAGGAGAAGGAACTGTAGTGTGGTCATCCCCCCTGGGGGGTGATTTCTCACTTTCCCTCTCACTGTCTCTTTCTGTCTTTCTCCAGTGGACACCCATACCCTGTGACAAAACAAACTAACAAACAGAAAGACTCATTCATTTCTTCCATGAGAGACAAAGGGAGTCTCCATGCCATGATCCACTCCCCGTCCCTGCCAGCCAGGATGGCAGGTGCTATTGCACCCAGCATATTCAGGGAGGTCCTGGGACCCGAAACCAGGACTGTTCCCACGTGAGCCCTGCAGTGCCACCACGTGGCCCCATTATAGGTGTTGATGGTTCTCTGCTGGGTCTCCCAGGCAGGTGAAATTGAGGCAAAGTGGTCATGCCACCTCTGTGATTGGAAGCCATTCACTCATTCATGCATCCCACACAACAGGCGTGCTCCCCTGCCTCTGCGTGCTCCCCTGCCTCTCCGTCCCCCATGGCGTGTTCATCCCAGCCTTTCTTCCTGTTCCGGAATCGGCCTCTGACTGCTCCCTCTCAACTCCCAACCTTCACTCACACTCCCTTTTATTTTTTTTTTTCAATTCAGTTTGCATAGGGTGTGTATGCGTGCTGGGGAGACAAGAGAGGCAAAGTGAGAGACAGAGAGGCAACGTGAGAAATCAGCTCCCCAGAAGGGATGGCCAAGCTGCACACATGCCTGGTGTGAGTTTCAAGCCGCCAGAGCCGGGACTCGAACCGAGTACTCGGTCATGTGAGATCCAGTGTCTTAACCACCAAGCCACCTGGCATGTCCTCCTCTCCCCTTCCTAGGGCTCACTGCCCTCATCCTCGAAGGCCTCCTGGACCTCTGGAGCTCCCCTACGATGGCGGTCATGCCGGCCCATTTCCCTGCCTGACTTCCGCCTCGCTCCCCACTTAAGGTAATTGCGGTAATAAGCGGCGACTGTTTGCAGGCGCCCTGGCCAGGCCGATGGAGACGTGGAAAAGGGAATGTGGTTGGTGCACGAGTCATGGACGGGCGGCAGGGCCCGCTTCCTTCTGCTCCAGAGAGGGCCACCCTGGGTGCGTCAGGTCCCCTCTGCTCCCCCTGGCGTCGTCCTGTCCTTGGAGGGGAGGGGACAGGTTACCTGGGCATCCAGGTCGTTACTCAGCTCCTGGCCATCTCTCTGTTTGACTCCTGGCGGGAGGGAAAGTGCGTGTCAGGGGAGGGCCCTCCATGGGGCCATGGGGCCACCCCATCGCCCCCCAAGGCTGGGACCCCCAGAAGGTTCCTTCCTAGGCCACGCCCCCTGGGCGCTCCCGCGCGGCCCGGGGACCCCCGGCAGCTCACCGTACACGATGGAGCGCCCCACTCCGGTGTGGTCGCTGCCGAATTTCCTCATCAGAGCCCCCGCCTTCTTGGAGGAAACCTTCCCATGAAACTTCTCCCGGAGGCGCCGGACGCTGTTCTCCAGCTGGGGAGGGGCACAGGG